TCTCCTTTGCTAGGTAAAACTATTGCTTTTTTTATAGTCACACAGAACTGAGCTACTGAATTAATGGTACTAATTTCTCCTAAGGCTTTTCAGTCACTGCCTTTCAATAAGGTGCTAAACCACCGATACCTACTTGAGATTACATGAAGAAATGAAATTACTGTCTAAAGTGAAATTCAGTTTGGAACATCTGCATCCCATTGCATCGCAGGCATTTTCCTGCATTCAGCCCTTTTGATTTCATTACTTTTGACACAAGCACCACACAAAGCATTACTAATAATCTCGGCATTGTCCATTGCCCTATTCAGTCCTTTCTTTACACTCCCAAAAGTCACATAACTCATTCGACCCATCTCAGTAGGTTTCATATACTTTTCTGCTACAGCCCATACTGTGACAGTCCCTTTAGAGTCACTGTGGCCTATCATATCCAGTGAGCTTTCTATAGCATCTACACGGGTTGCACTTAGTACACATATTATATATTTATTACATRTAATTATATATACACACCACCAGCAGCACGAAGGACAGTCTGTTAGTCACTGCAGATAATTTTGTGTGGATAATTTTTTGTTGGGCTACACACAATTCCAACTGCACCATCTGCTTTCCTCTTCTCCCTTTAAAAATGCTACACATAATCAGATTTCCTACTGGTCTTCAGCATAGCCTTGTTTTTGAGTGTTAAWTACTGTTTCTTCAATTGTCAACATGTGGAAAGGAACTGGATTGCTCAATAGGTGTAACTGAAAAGAGAAGTTAATGGCTATCATAGCAGTCTAACAAGTATTCTTCCAGGCTCCAGGATAATATTTTCCTCTCTAAGAAAAACAGAGAAATAGCAATAGGCCAAGAACTACTTGGGCAAGCTCTCACAAGAACATGTTCTTTTGACTGGCTATGTCTATTTTAATTGTCTTAGGATACTTGATTCAAATCATGTTAAAGCACAGTTACTCTGTGTTGAACTTGCTTTGTAAAATGTGTAGCTTTTTAGAATATCGTGCAGTGCAGACCTCTAGAAGAAAGTAAACTATACTTGAGAGGAGTGCAGCAGCTGCTTTTATCTACTTAACTTTCAACATTTAAAAAAAGCTTCTTTTTTTTTTCTGCCGCTTCTTTTCTCTAAAGTCAGAAATATTACATCATCACTGCTTAATAATTAGACAACTGCATTTCTTAGCCCATTTGCCTCATTTTTGCCAGTCAACAGCATACTGCCCTTTTACTATATCCAAAATTTGCCAATATCAGTATTTCAAAAAACTCCATAGTTAACTAATTTGAAGTTTGACATGTGTAAGCTATCATGGGCAAATATTCTTAGCAAAGCTGTTGGTTCTTTACATCTTTCATAGTTGTAACTAAAAATTATTTTTACCATTTCTTTTTCAAACACACAATTGTAATAGCCAATAAACAGAGAAACAAATAGCCAATAAACAGAGAAACATTGAAGAGGAGAGTGTTGTTAAAGGACAACATCTTTCTACATCTCAACCACCTAATTCTTAAATCTTACTAAGTCTTCTAAAGTTTTCCAGTCAGGAAAAGCAGGGGTAATAGGACTGAAATAARGAAATCAAGGAAGATCAGGAATCTCAAGGTGCAGAGCAAGCCTTACATACCAAATGGTGAGCTGAGGTCGGACACTTGAATAAGCAGGAGAAAAGATCTAGCACAACCGTGGGGAACTCTGCATACCCTCCCCCAGTATTAAAAATCTTAAAAATACAGACTGAATATATTATTTTCTGAAATCGCGTGACTGGTCTAAAAGAAGCCCCCCAAGTGTCTGCTAGAAACAAGCTCTGCCCCTTGGCTAGATCCAGCCTCACTAGATAGAACAAACAGGACAAGAAATAGGATGAAGACACGGTGGAGAGATACTCCCTGTGGGACACAGCCTGCATATGAGAATATTCACTGWGTTGTCACTACCACGAGGCAATGCCAAGGAGTGGACAGCAGAGTAGGAAAGCCCATCCTAGAGGGAAGGAGGGAGAGAAATGGTTCAAAAACATATGCATCAGGCTCCAGGGGATGACTGTACATAGATATGAAGGAACTCTCTAAGAGTTTGTAGTTCTGCCATGCCCTGTGGCCTTCATCTCTTCTTGTTAGAATGAACTGGAAGTTTTTGAACTGTTGGATTTAACTACTAAGGATGTGCCTGAGTTTTGCCTTTCTTACCTTGCAACACCTGGATTTACTGGGAAAATGAACTTTGAAGAAGAGAAATTAAGCAGTTTAAGCAGTTGTCCTATTAGCATAGGCCAAAGAAGCTTGCAGCCTGTGTCCATACTGAGGTGATACCACCCTACCACTCAGATCAGCGCACTACCCGTGGCTCTGTGGATGGAGAAGAAAAGCTTATTTTCAGTTTCTCATCTCTCTAAAGCCTGAATGGGACTTGAGCCTTCTTTTTTTTTTTCCTCTGAACAAATATCTGTGAAACTCACTGGTAAAATATCTTCCTTCATGTGCAAATTTACATGGAGGATAAACATCTGTTACGCTGTTACTCCACCACTGAACTGGAATCCAGACTCCAGCCCTGCTGATATATGTACCAAGCTGTGAAGAATTACCCAGGTTTTCAATCTTCTTTCACAAAAGTCTAGAAAGTCACATCTAAAAGCCTTGGATAAAATATTAAGGAACAAATATACTTCAAAAGAAATTATCACTATTTAATACCAAAGTGTTGCCATTTACATTCAATTGTTAATTGAATGTAATGAGTTGCTAGTGGTGGTACAATAATGTGGTTCTGGTGTGGAATTGTTTAAGCTTTCTGGACATTTATAGCTCTAATTACATCACTACTATCTGATACGCTTAAAAAAAAAAAGGGGAGGAAATCTCTTTCTTTTATTCTAGCAATCTTTTTCTCCAGCAAAATAGATTTATTTAGGCTTTGTTAGGCTGACACAGGTTATATGTTTTGTTGACAGAGTAAAGGTCACCTGCTGCTTGTGTATGTCTGCGCTGAGCATTGCCRTGTATCCAAGCACTCTGCTATCTGGTTTTCGTCAGGTACACTTTGAATGAGCTCCTCTGTGAATCAGAAAGAGAAGCAGGCAACTTGATCCGCCTTATCTGTCCTTATCTTTTCTTGTCAGACACTCTTTAACCACTATTACCTCACAAAGATGTTTTCCACTGATAAGTAACTTGTGTTGTTATTTAGATAATTAATTATCAATGCATTGAGGACAGCATACGTTAGAACAGTATCTAGCAAAACTAACAGAATTCATACAGGTAATCGCCAAGAGGAAAACAATGCCAGTGTTACTCTGGTTTCCTGCATAAATCCATATCAACAGAAAACCAAATCAAGTTAGAATTATTGACATTTGTTTAATACACATTAAGAGAAAGGCTTTATGTTAAAAGTATTTCTTACCTGATATTTTTAAAGATTTAGGTGARATCTCATCTACCTGGAGAAAACAAYATTGTAGACTCAAATTGCTCTCCTGTGTTCCCTTTACAGCCTATGGGAAAAATCAGAGAGCTTTTCATCTAATCCCTTTGGATATCTATCTTACCATATGACGAATTGCATGACTGAAGTGCAAACTTCCTTCCTCTGATTACAAAGGAAGCCTTCACCGACTTGTGAAAGTCCATGTTTGTTCAGATGAGTCAGTCCCTCACCATTACTCAAGAAATGTAACTTCCRCCTGGTTTTAAGTTTTGAACTAAATTTGCAAATTATAATTATTTTTTGTTACTGTGATAATAATCCKAGTAAAAATTATACAAACGTGTACAAAAACGTTTCCCAAGTATTGCTGTAACACCRCTGCTGTAATTACAGAAAATGCTTCTTGATGATAACAGCAAAACCCGCAACAACTCTAAAATATTTTATTGCATAATACCTTTCAGTAGCTATTTAAATTATGCTATCTGCATTAAAAAAATAAATAAAAAGGAAAAAAAGGAAAAAAGATTAACAAGTATTAATGCTGCATGGTCAAGCATTCACAAGTTTAGAAATGACATAGTTAATAGCACCAATTGTTAATCTCCTTTATTCTCAGTTCTCCATCCATAAAATTTCACTAATTCCAGTCCTCACCTAACACCTAAAGTGTATTTGTTAGAGATAAGTAGTGCTTCTTAAGTAACTGGATCCATAGTGTTTACTGGAGAATGTAGGTAATTCTGCACTAAGTACAAATTCTAAATTAGGTTTAGATCTTCTTTGACCCTAATAAAAATACTAAAGAGATGATCATGCATATAAGTGTTGTTTAATCTTGCAAGTAAAACAAATGTGTAATTATTTATATTTCAGACGGCCAGACTAAGGTTTCAGCTTTACTTGTGTCATTGCTAAACTTGTGAATGCTTGACCATTTTGAGTGTCACACTTCACAGTTGTTTCAGGTTTGAGTGATCATATTGACAGGCTTTTGGAAAATCAAGGTATGTGTGATACATAATGCCTTATGCATTTAAGCAGCTTTTATGACTTCAGCTGAGAACAATTACTCAGCACTTCTGAGAATCAGATTCAACAGAATTGTATTTAACATTAACTCTGTATCTGATTTTGGATATCTATTTACAGATGCCTGGTTTGACCATCTTTCTCTGGTATTTAGGGAAGGACCCAATTGATGAAGAATTCGTCAATTTTTTGCTGGCATTTTCTCCTTGTTTCCTGTAAAATTTAAATTATGCTACAAATGTGCTAAGAAATTCAGTAAACAGTGGTATCATTTACAAACTGTACTTACCCAACCCATCTAGTCCACAGTAGGAAACAGGGTATAGTAGAAACAAGTCCTACAAATGTGCTATTATGCTTTAAATACTGTAAGCGTATATCCACACAGCGAACAAAGCAGTTATGTATTCTAAACATCTAAAATCAGACACAACAGCAGCGAACTTCGCTTCTACCTTTCAAGGCTTTGCCCTTAAGATRCAAAGCTTCATTTGAGTCTTTCATCCCTCTGTTTGTAAATTTGAGCAAGTTACATGGAACTCTGCCTAATTTCTGCTACATATTTCCCTCTGTATCTTATATTCATTTTCAGTATGGCCAGCATTTTAATCCCTAATAATCTGACCAGGCAGTTACACAAAAGGAGAAAAAATATTTTTCCATTTCCTAGGAATTCATGGTTAAATGTGTTTCGAGTTCAGAAGTTCATTTGACTTTTCTTTAAACAGAAACACATTCATGACATTTTTTTTCCTTTAAGAGCTATCTCAATATCAGTCTCAGCTAAATGTTGTCTCTAGACAAGTTCTAAGGGCAAAACTACTACCACTGATGTATCACATTAAAACAGATACTTGTAGCCCTCCAGACTTTACTGTTGAGATAGAGCAAAAACTATTTAAGAACAGAGATTGCATAAAAGACTTCGAAAAGTCCCAAAGACATTTTACTGCCTTTTTTTAATGATTTGATTCCACCTAGTTCAATAAATGATCAATTTTAGCCTCATATGTGATCAAGTATGAATCTCTTTAACAAAATTTACATGAACCTGCACATWGGCGTTACAGCACTTTTGTAGGGTTTGCCTTTGCAATTGTTCCCTAAATGGTTCTAATCTGACCACAGAAGCATCCACGACTCTGCTCTTCATTCCAAAGTAAAAGGCCTTTGGCCCCAGCCAAATGAACACTCAGAGGAGGAACTGAGCCAAATGGGTCCCTGCTGGAGCAAGAGGCTGGACTAGATCCATCTCTAGGGGTCCCGTCCAACCTCACCCATCCTGTGATTCTATGAATGACCTCCTTGTAGAAAGGCAGCCTTGACAATTTTTACAAGTTGTTATCCCTACATAACCAATTATGGGAAAATTTCTAATACCCCTGAGGTACTGTATTTACTTAAGTACGATTTTAAATAAAGGAAGCAGGATGGGGATGTGGGTAGAGACCACATTTTTACTCTAGCAAAYAGCACACTGCAAAGGGCTGCCCTAGAAAGCACTTGGGTCAAAGCTACTGTGAAAGCACAACAGCARGACAGATGAATAGCAATGAAATTACATCCATAAAAAGTGAATAGTCTGCTACTCAGTGAATGAAGTTTTAATTTATCTCCCCCCTCCCAGGAAACATAACCTGTTTTATTGCTTGAAGTTAGCTTAACTCTTGCCACAAAATGGAGTCTGACAAAACACAACAAAAGGATGAAGAGAATCACCTTTTCTATACATGTGTATCAGAAGATATGCTCCAATATCACAGTTCCCCACGTGAAACTCCACAAGCATCTGATACCCAGTTTCAGAGCAGCTATTTCCTCCCTAAACCTTTTTCCTTATTTGTCAATTTTACTTTTACATTAAGCAGTTGAACTTCCACTGTTTTAATTAAAACATGTTCAAAGTACACTTTAAATGCCTTTGCAAAATGAAAAAGCCCCCAACTTAAAAAAAAAAGCTGTCAATTAGAATGGTAAAATACAATTGAACAGATGTGAAACATTTCCAAGTAACTAGAAATTTATGAAAACAGTAAAATGAGCAGATTTCTAGGTTTTATCTCACTGTGCAAATTTAGCAATTTGACAGTCCTGAARATACAAGTGATATCAAAATAGTATTTCTCTGATCAAAATACCCTTAAGCTGAATGTAACCTYTACTTACCAGCCAAATGAGAACAGCTACGTTGTTCAAATGGCCCTCTGTGGAGCTCACCACTGCGCTAAACGATGTGGCACTTCGGAGCACGTCCAAGTTCTGTGTGAAATTCTGTGTCTTTCAAAAGAGCATCCTTTGAACGCAGCATCCTCCTCGGCCTTTTAAAAAGGCAAGATATGTTTAAATGGAGTTTCAGTTTTAGGCTTTTAATCCTATGTTTAATCTTACCTTTGCCCAGTRTAGTGATCACTAAGGAGAGGAGCAGCCCAGCTCTTATTTTACCGAGCAAGTATTACCAAATAATCTTTGGCTTCCCGTCAAGAATTTTGGTCATCATTCTTTGAAAACTCGAGCCTGCACAGGTTTCAGGTAAAGTTATTTTGGGGAGTGAATCTACTTGGGCATAGCCTCAGTCTTGGCAATGAAGCATTGAGTCAAAATGCATAATTTATAAAATGCTACTGCTATTTATACAACTCATCCTCCAAGTTTTGCCTCTCCTGTATTTGCTGCAAAGGCAGCTTCAAGAGCACAGAGTTAGTAACAATCTATTGGGGAAGTCAGAAGTAATCTCCATAAAGAAATACTGTATTTTCTACTATTTATTTTTGTCCACATTTATTTATGAGTAAAACAAACAGCAAACATTACAGCAAGGGGGACACAAGGGCCCAGATTAAAAGAAAGAAAGGAAAGAAAAGGAAAAAAAGGCCTGGATGGATCCTGAATTTAGGCACCTTAAGATGGCTGACAAAGTACACAAAAGAAGTGAAAGCCAGGAAAAGTGTTTCAGCAAACTTTGTAAGTGCATTTCAGTATTTATTTAGATGTTTAAGCTCTCGCACTAGATTTTACAAGCTGGTGAACACTGGCAAAATTATTTCTCCCACAGAACTATAACCACACATTCCCAAGACAGTATAAATATATGGTTGAACTAACATTAATACACATCACCATTTTATCAATTACATAATAAAACAAATTATCAAGTATCCAAATATTAAGTTACGCAGCTTGAAAGGCATACAAAATATTACAGAGGTCTGCCCAAGTCATAGCAGAAACTCAAGGAGGAAAAACAAAAGAAAAAAAAAATCACACTTTCAACAAAGCAAGAGTTGGTAAACAACTTTCAATAGGTACAGTAAAAGAAACTACAAGATTTTTCAGAAATTTTCTGATTAAGAATTTTTAGCTACAATAACAGAGCATTTCTACATTTTAAAAAAATATTTACTAAAGTAAAGGGCATATTCTATACTTCCTGCACAAGACAAAGGCAACATTTTACTAGAAATATTAAATAGCCCCTCCCAACCTTTTCAGGCCCTCTGTTAAGTTGCACATGAAGTGACAACATTAATTTTACTGTAAGGCTTTTTGTCTGGAGACATTAAAGACTTGTGTGCTTCTGTACAATGTAAAAAGGTTTTCTACATGAGTAACCAGAGAGTAATGATTTGTAAATTGGAGAGGTTCTGACAACAGAAAAGTACAGACACGAGGGGGGAAAAAGAAAAGTTGCTGCAATTCATGGTATTTAAGAAAAAAACAAAACCAAAGACTGTGCAAATCCTGGTAATTCTAGTGCGATTGTGGGAGACAAAACATACAGTGAGCAGGCAAGACTATCTTAGAGGCCATATTCTTCAATATTGAAATGACTGTAGAAAAAAATAGTAAGGTCCAGATAAGCTGGTAGTTCTTAAGTCATCAGAACTATGCTCGTTTTTATGAAGAAAAAAACAAAAACAGATGATATGCTGGGTATTTTGGCACCTAATCGCTCTACAGATTGATGTGTTTTAGTACCCCAATTTTTAGTAGCTGAAACTAGATGGAAAGACTCAATGGCATGATTAAGTATATTTGAACTGGTTAAGTTACAAACAAGGAGACAGTTCAGAAATAAGGTGTACAAGAAAAACATTTACTGGTTCTCCAAACAGATGGATATTTATCTTAAC